GTTAATGACAATGTATCTTTGCTGTAATACATTTCTAAAAACTTAAACATTCGCTAGCACCACTAAGTCCAAAAATCTCTGAATTTCAGACAATGAATTCTCAGCTATACTGTGTCAATTTGTTAATGGTTAAACTTTCCTAGTAATTCACCCTCTGTCAAACAAGGAAAACCCCTTTTCAAAAAAAAAAAAACAATAGCAGGCCATCAGAATAAACGCACTGACTTCATGGTAGACATTATTGGTTGGGGTATAGAAACAACCGAAATAAAGCAGAGCTTCAATCTTATCCTAAAATATTTTGCTCTTTTTTTGTTTTTCAGAAAAAGATCTCAAGCCAAAAAAGTAAAACACTAACAAGAATCTTACACAAATGCTAATAGAGACCTCATACAGTGTTATTTGTGTCTCCGAATTATTTCATGATTAAAAATGAGCTTGAGAAGAATGTGACCCCCAAAAAGTGTGACACACTCAGAGAAGAGTATGATAGAAGGTTCTGGGGTTTTTTTGTTTGTTTGTTTTTGATTTTTTGAGACAGGATCTCACTACATAGTTCAGGCTGGCCTTGAACTAATTCATAGTGATTCTCCTGCCTCTGCCTCCCAAGTGCTGGGATTACAGGTGCATGCTACCAAATCCATGAAGAAGGTTTTATCAGTAATTGCACGGTGCTTTCTTACAAATGTCTTCCCCTTAGGTTACCTGTGTCCCTCAGCATGTGCTTAGCAAGAGATGGATCTCAGGCACACTAATGTAAGAAATGGAGAGGACACTCCCTGCCTTATGTGCTTAAACTCACAATCTTCATTTGTTTACAAAACTTCAAACCCTTTTGTAGGCAGCGAGGAGACCCCTAGGCATTAAGCAGTGGTGTTTAATGACTCCTCTCAGGAAGAATAACGGTCTTTATCTGTGAGGCAAGTACGCTGACTCAGGCGTTAAGGACCTGTGGAGCCCTCGCTGGCCCAAGCAGCACTCAGCCGCCCTTCTGAGCCTCTCATCTGCACACCTGGCCTGGGCAGCAGGGATCACGCTTCTCTTCCACCAGTACTGCCTCAAAATTTGTCTGCAACTTTCCACCTGGCTGTCCAGAGGCAGTCTCCTGCTCCAACACTTGCAGCGGTGTGGCCAAAAAAGGAGGCAGTTCACCTACATGAAAAATAAAGATAGCAGGGCCCATACCATTAGGTTGCTGTGATGATTAACTAAGACACATCACTGGTGAAGTGCCTAGCACAGTGCCTGCCACACACACAGGCAGTCAATAAATGAGCTATTATTCTTACAAGTCTAAAGAATGATCCTTTAAAAAGGAAATCAAGTTGGTGGTGATACACACCCGTAATCCCAGAACTCTGAAAGGTGGGAGGATCAAAAGTTCGAGCCTTGTCTCAGCAACTTAGTGACTTAGTGAGACCCTGTCTCAAAATAAAAATTTTAAAGGGGCAGAAAGTATAGCTCCGTAAAAAGACCCTGGGTTCAAATCACAGTACTGAAAAGTACAAAGTTATCACATACACTGGGAAAATAGGGGAGAAAATGCATTAACAGATGAAGTGTTTCTCATGTGGATAAAAAATCTTAAGACAATTTTAGGACATTGCATACTTGGCTATATGCTGTCCTAGTAAGTCAGTGATTTAACTTTCCTAGTAATTTACCAGAACAAGGAGTTGAATTTGTTTCGTTTATATATTAAAGTAGCAAGGGTTGGCCAAATAGCTCAGCAGATTAAAGTGCCTGCAAGCAGGCGTAGGGGCCGGAAGTTCGATCCCCAGCCTGCCGTGCTGGCCCTGCCCTCAGAGTACTCTGAGCCAGCAACTGAGACTGGGCATGGTGGTGCGCCTGTAATCCCAGCTCTTGGGAGGCTCAGGCAGGAGGATCCCTTTGGATTCATGGTTATTCTGGGCTACATAGTCGAAGATCAGCCTGAATTACATACACATCCCTGTCTCAAAAATAAAATAAAATCTGTCAGTGAGACCAGGAAATCAGCACATAAAGAAATAAGACCCCCCCCCCAAAAAAAAAAGAGGAGCAAATGCATCTCTCCGTAATTTTTCTTGGGGCTGGGACTTGAACTCAAGGTCTCATGCACACTAAGCACACACTACTACTGAGCCACGTTCTTGACCCTGTACGTTTTCTTGCAAACTACTAATAATTTGCAAAGGTGGTCTTTTGGAGAAATAATGCCTCAGGATTCAAATTAACATCCTGACATCCTGGGGTTTCAGGATGTCATTCAACAATGACTTTTTCATTTACTTGAGCCTTAAAGAAAAAAAAAAAAAATTCTCAAAGAGATTAAAATACATTCCTATTAAGGTTACTCTCGGGGGCCAGGGAGATGGCTCAATAGAATAAGTGCTTGCCTGGCAAGTGCAAGGGCCCGAGTTCTATCCCTGGTTCTGCCAAATAAATAAATAAATAAAGTTACTCTCAATCAAGACAAATGATTAAAAAA